AGTTCTTACTAAAATGAAATTTCACTGTAAATAGTTAAAGAGAATGCACACCACATTAATTTTTTTTAATATTTATAAATTAGTTATGTAATTTTTATACGAAGGATGAGAGATAATATTACATTTGGAAGCATTCCAAAGCGCCTACCTTCTAATCTATACACATGCACGCATAGTTTTTACTAACGTGGGATTTATAATTTTGATTAATTAATTAATTATAAGATAAATCTAATATTCTAATTTCTAACTTGTATAAGACATAAAATTAATCAAAATTCTAAAATAAATATGAAAGCCGAATTTAAAATCATCGTTGGTTAAAATAAAACGTGTTAGTAGACTAATAAGCTGTTGTGATGGTAAGTAATCTTATTTCTGTAAAAAAGAAAACACAAATTAAAATCTTAAAAAACACACTTATTAAAAAAGTTTTATTTTAATATTCATGTGAAAGTTTCAAATTGTTAGACAATACTAGTAATTATACAAAAAAAAAAAAACAAAAGGGCGTTAGTGGAGGATTCCTTCGAGAGTAAAGTCCGTCAATTCAGTAGCTCGGAGACTTTATCCTAAAACCTAAACCTTAATCATTGAGGCATTAATCAAAATTGAGGCATTAAAATAGTCCCAGTAAAACGGCACATGTATAGGGTCTAGGCCATAGGAAAATCTAGCTTCCTAGCACGTACAGGTTGGGATAGGATCTTCATTATCTTCGGGGTGGATTTTCCGAAAGTGCCTTTTAAAAATACTGCAAATCAAGATATCGCATGCTTATTTTATATATTTAAAATTATAGGTTGCTTCTCATCCAAACACTCTCTTAATCAATTAGACAGTATATATTACTTTGAAAATATATTGGTAACTTGTCCAATTACTGCTGATATTATTGATTAGATACTCTCATGTACTACCTCATGTTCTTAATATAAGTTATAGTTAATTGATTTGGAGAGATTGTTATTACTTTAAAGTATTTATATTTATTGTTTTTCTCTAAACTAATTTGTCTCATTTATAAATTGATATACAATCTAATGATACACATAAATACTTTAGAGAGCTCATGTAACATATGTTATAATTAAGCAATTTAGTAACTTTCTTAATCTCTCCCAATTAACTGGGTTTTTTTTTTGCTATCTAACTAGGTCTTATATTAAGAATTGAACGTGGTATAGGTATTACCTCCAATTCTTAATATAAAAACTAGTTTAATATTTAAATTAATTCTAAATATAAGACTCAAATCTATTTTGTTTTTCATATTTATCAATTTTTTCTCAAGATAGCCTTTTAGTAGCTGTATATGTTCAATGTTTTATCAAATAATAATTCTAACTAATATACATGATTGATAAAGACATTTTAGAAAAGACAACACATATTTATTATAAATAACTAACAGAACTAATTTTTTTAATTTACTCAAATTAATCATTAATGTAGTATATAATTAAGAAGTAAATATCCGCTTAGAAATGGGAAAGGACAGCTCCTAACCCTCTAGCTAGGCAAATAAAGCAGTTTTGAAAGCTGAAAGCAACAAGCATATGTGTGTGCATCAGGCTGAAAACTTAATCCCAACTAAAGATTTGTTGTCAGCTTTGAGGATCACAAGTAGGAAAGAAGCCAAATTTGTAAGTTATATTATCTTTCTCAATCCTCTCATTACACTTGGGATCTAAATCTTGGCCTCGCTGCTTTGTTATGCAGGTATCAACCTTACCAGATTTTGAAGGGGGGGGGGTGTTACATGTTAATTTATGTGTGACTTTATAAATAACTTACCCACCTTTTTTTCTGGAAACTTGTAGTTTACCAAATATTTGATCCTTGGGCATAAATAGTAGTGCCTGCATGCACCTACATACATAAACAATTATGCTTGGATAAAAAAAAAATACTCTTCTAGTCCTAAATATAAAATTTTTATACATACTTGTAGTGTGTATAAGGATCTTATATTTAGGACCGGAGGAGTATGAGAAGAAAGAAAATAAAAAGAAAAAGAAAACGAGAAAATGTTGTCATTTCTTTATGCTTGAATTTGTAGATAAGAAAAGCTATTTTCAAATAACTTCAACACTACTTAAATTTAAATTAACAAATAGCCGTACTAGATACAAAATAATTATTATGGCAAAAAATAATTAAAGAAAAGTTGAGATCATGTCCCTCAAATTGGATTGGACCTTTTAAATTTAAATTTACGTGTAAAGTAAAAAGCATCGGCACTATAACTTCTCTTAATAAATAGTAAAAAAATTGACGTTAACGACCATGGCCGAAAAGAGTTTGTATATATCAGGCCGAAGAAAAGTTAAAACAATTTCTAGTTACAGATAAGTTTATCCACGTTAAATATGATGTTTATTGTTCATCAATATGTATTGATTTAATTTCTCAAATACAATGCTTAATTCTATAACGTACTCAATAAAATCCTTGTATAAGATGGCGTTTCCAAATGAGAGAACTACCATGAGGTTTCAAGAAAGAAATTTAATTATCAAAAAATTCTAATAACTTTAAAATAATTAAAATTTTTTATTGGGATCTGATTGTAATTTTTTCTTTTCAAATTTCTCCTCCTTTTCTTTTCAAAAGTGAAATATTGCATAATTACAAGAAAAGAGATCTGGAGGTATTCTTCTGGTCCTAAATACAAGACTCATTTTATAATATAATTTATACTACAAATTAAAATGAGTTCTATATTTAAAATCGAAAATAATATATAATTTTGTTGTTAGTGTTTCAAATCACAGTAATAAAGTGACTTAAAAATGATTTTTTTTAGGAGGTGTAGTTAAAAAAGCCACAGATTCTGGCCAGAACAACTTGCAATAACAGCTAAAAAAAGTCGATCAATAGTAATATAATCTCGAAAGATTTGATAATGACTAATCAATCTGATAAGACATTGTGGTGTTCTTGGAGTCGGCAATTTTTATTTCTATATATGTAAAGTTTTAGTGTTTTTCTTTCCTCGAGAGATAGAAATAGAAATTCACTATCGGTGCGAATATATGGCAATGGTCCACAGGAACAAATCTCACAATTTTTATGTCACTCTCTGTACTACACACACACACGCGCACAAATTGTTACAATAATTTTGGAGAAAGGTACGTGAGAGTTAAATGAGATCATTCATCACTCAACTCTTACCTTTTCTTTCTTAATTGACATGAATAATTATCAGAACGCATTAAATAGAGAATTCATTGTGATGAGAAAATCTACAGCCCAATCTCAACACTGAGAAAAATGGAAGGCAAATTGCTAGAGAGAGAATTTTAGCTTTTTGGCCGTAGATGACCTTATCTCTAATTTCTTCTCTTGAGCATCAAATGCTAGTGATTCAGTGTGAGTGCTCTGCCAATATAAGGACTATGCAGAGCTTAAAAACCACAGTTATGGCGGTGGAGATATATAGAAGCGATAATTAATCAGTCACTGACAATAACAGCATAGCAGACGACAAAAACAAAATAATCCATTGATGGGTTCTAATCACAGTCAAAATATATTGCAACAGAACAGCATCAAATCAAACCGTCTCCACAGATGATTACTTTATCTATATCTGTCTGTTCATCTATGTTTATCTCTTACGTACTACTTTCATTTCCCACACGCACAAAAGGAGAGCGATATGTTTAATTATTTGCACTGAGACGAGTTGTGCAGTGGCTGCTGTTGAAGGAACAGGCTCAGTATTATGTCTAGGATAGTTACTGTGCACTATTAGTGTTACATATTCTAAAGCAGACAGCTTTATTCCTACAAATGGTGGTTGCTAGTGTGAACAAAATCTGCATGCCGCTTCAGTGATAATAATATAGCGATTGGGTGGTGGATCATCGATCAAGTAAAATAAAGAATCAAAATAAAGCATGATGCCGTAGGAGACCAGTAAAAAAAAGGAAAGGAAGCAACAAAGCAAAGCTAAAGGCTGACGCAACAGTATATTTTGCCACCACTCACCCATAAGCATATTATATATTGGCGCATCCCAAAAATATCAACCAAAAAGGCCCATCTGGGTTGGCTCATAACATGACCCTCCCTTTCGCCTACCACATTTAGTGGAATTCACACTCAGATTCTACTATATTATCATATTAAAGTGATCCTTCCATAGATGCTCATCGCACCTGGATGGGTCAACTTGCCCTTATTGCTCTCTCACGACAAATCGTTCCCAGCCAACGCTGCTAACTATATGTAATGCTGAGCAGTAACACAGAATTGATTGTGATTAGACATGTAAGCATGTGAGAGGTAAGCTAATAAGCTTTATTATGGGGGGAAAAAAGATCTGCGTGTAAAAGCCAAATTCTCGACTGAGTCAGCTTCTTCATCAGCAAAAGAACTGGCTGCCTTCTATTTGTATCATGCAGTGACATCATATATGTAACTACTCCATTTTCGATATGGCACAACGAGTCAAAAACCTCCGATTTTGAAAATCTATTAAGCCCAATATATATATTCTAATTTAACTTGAGGCTCCCATGTGTTGTTGCACTTTGGGCCTACCACTAATTAATTAAATGAAATGCGATGAGATCTAATTTGTGGACGGGTTTGGTGTCGTTTTTCCGGTTGGATTTGCGGCTTCATAGATAAGAACGAAGGGATATATTTTGGTCTGAATAAATTAATGCACGTGTGTCATCTAAAAGCGTTCGATAATTACTGAAAATTTTCAAGTTGCTTTAATTTAGAGGCTTAGCATATAGCATACCTTAGGTGCATATCTGACTGTTGATTCACCAATTACAAACCACTTCCTTCAGACAAATTACACACATTTTTTTCAAGAATTATACCGGAGCTTTGAAAAGTGAATTGTACCATTTATGACTTTTAATTAGTGTAATCTATTCTAATATATTGTACTACATGTATTAATATATTGATGATTGTTAGGTACAGTACCATCTACTCATGTTCTGGACAGCAAAAACTAATTACAGAAGGCATTTTAGATGATGGGTCTCACTGAATTTTTATTTGATAGGAGGTGAAGAGGAAACCTTCACAAGAAAGCCCATTGAAAATGTACAGTTGAGCCACTGACACATTATTGGAATTTGCTTGTGATGTTCATAAACTAAGATGCATCATACAGGGCAATGATCTATGCAGTAGAAACTGACGGCTGTCTTTGAACATCATGAGAACTGGCATTACAATGCATGGATGCCTAACACAGCTGGGTTACCGAAGTCCCCAGAATTTGCCCTAAAACCCTGGCTTTTGAGGTTGGCATAACCAAAAGCCTCATGAAGGACACAGTCAATATCAGATGAAGATGAATGCAAGAAACCGTCGCAATTAGGGTTGAAAACCTCATCATTATTTGGCTTCTGATGTGGTGAGAACATAGGAGACTGGTCATTGAATTGAACAGGCTTGTTGTCTTGTGGGGTGGTAGATTCTGTGAGATTAACAATGGTTATGTCGTGTATGCTTGGTCTTCTTTTGTTGTTCCCTCCAGAAGAAAGCTTCTGTCTTATGTAGTATTTCTGGGCATGACTAGCCACTTGGGTTGGTGTCTTTGTCACCACGAAATTCCTTGAGATATTCCTCCAATCTCCTTTCCCGTACTTCAGAAGCCCCATCAGGAAACGCCTGTGACTCCAAAAACATAGAGATTCCAACAATGAAATGAACAATCTTGAGTTGCTTCTTGTAATCAATCAATTATGATTATATCACAAGAATTTCAGCAAAAACTTTTATGTCCAGAGATAATTAAAGATTTTACAGATTGGTGAAGCTAGAAACTGACCTGTGTTCTTCTTCAGTCCAAGGCACCCCTTTCTTTCTCTCATGATCAGAAGCCTTGAAGGCGACGGGCCTCTTTCTGTATGCATCATAATTCTGGTGGTCAACCAACTCAAAGGTGAAAGGAGACGGTAGATACCCGGGTATTGGAACCCGACCCGCTTCGATTTCGCCTATGTCTTCTTCCAGTTCTCTGTACTGCTTGATCACATCGTACACAGTTTTACCCGGGATCATGGCTGCCACCTTCAGCCACCTATCTGGGGTGTCCTTATCGTGTATGGCAAGGGCACTCTCGAACCTCTTGTTCTCCTCTCTCGTCCATTCTGTGTTGCCCAGGCTATCTTGAACGTGCCAGTCTGAATTTGGCATAAAAGAAGATGGGTACAGAGTTTCCATGTCTTCAATTCAGTAGCTCCAAAGATTTTCACCTAATTGAGTGGAACTTGAAAGGGCACGCCAAAGGAAAAAAAATACAAGTATTGAGCTTTGATTCAAACGGCAAGGAACTTAGAATCTATCACGTGTAATCAGGAATCTGCTTTGCTTAACGGCACAAACTAAAGAATCTGTAAAAGTTCCACCTTTTAGAATCGAAGAGAATCTCGGAAAAATCATGATATACCAAAATTTTGATGCTAGGGTATAAACCCAAGAGAGAGTTAAGAGGCGATCATTAATTCAAGACGAAAAACGCACCCAGAAGGTTTATGCTAATAAGATAGCAAGTCTCAGACAAATATGGGTCGAGGGGGTCAGAAAGAGAGGAAAAAGATAAATATAACGAACCAAAGAAAGGGAGAGGATTGAAGGCGATGCGGAGTGGAAAGATCCAATGGGGGAAAAAGAGAGATTCTTTACAAAGAGCAGAGAGAAAAGTGGGAAGCTGTTTGCTTTTGTCGTTTCTTCGTGGAGAAGCAAGTTCGGAAGCAAAAGGAGGAAGGAGAATGCATAAACGTAGAGAGAAACAGAGTGAAAACAGAGTGTTTGATGGGAGCGGCTGGCAAGATGGTATTGGAATGTCTTGGAAGCAGAATGCACGATTGACAATCACCCTGTCCTATTATAGGCCGCTAATTCAAGATTATGTCATTTAATTAATCATTAAATTTTATAATAGTAAAAATTAGGTGAGAAAATTAAATATAGAGAGGTCCCGAGAAATTGATATTGATATTAACAAGTAGAAATTGCTTATTTATAAATTAAATTTAACAATTTATAGTCATGACTCAACTTTTATATTTATAAGTGGAATTTACAACTATAATTTAAGCAATGGATATCGTATTTGAACTTTTTAAAAGACCAATAACAAATATTTAAGACATTTTACCTGATAGTCCAAGTTTAAATTCGATATCTGAACATGATGAAATGCTTTTTTAAAAATAGATCGACAGTGGAAGTTGGCATATACTTTCATGATTAATATAACAGCTGTATAACTAATTTAAAAATAATGAAAAAAATTATTTTAGTTAGTTCTTTTATAATGAATATGCGTTAATTTCATTATTATATCATTTCTAATCATACCCATTATATCGACTCCTTAATATCATTGTTGATTTTGTTTAGGACGAAAGATTTTTCTTTTTCTTTTTTCTTTTTAAATTTCTAGTGGCAGAGAATGAGTTAGTTTATCATGACAACTTGTGTGGGTATTTTTTTTTTCCTTGAGTAATATGTGTATGTGTGTTTTAATATAAACTATAGTTATAGTTGTCTTAACTTTGGATGGCTGCGATGAATTTAAATGGTTTTTTTTTTGGGAAAATTACACACAGGTATCACAAAAGATAATTAATTCAGAAAAAATCTCTGGAAATCCCCAAATACTTCCTAAGTCCCCAAGGACCTCTAAATAATTAATTTCAATTGTGATATTACCTACTTACCCCTGTTAATTTGAGTGTGAATAATTTGCCCGCCTTAAACCCTCGGGACCACCTTCTTTGCGTTTCCAGCTTTCCATTACAGCACAGGCGGCTTCACATCCATCGACGGCGAGCTTTACTCACACTGTTGGCGAGCTTCATACCCTATCATCGATGACCTTCGCACCCCACTACCAACGAGCCTCGTGGGTTCCATCATCGATGACCTTCGCACCCCACCGCCGGCGAGCCTCTCTCTCTTGGTATCTCATATTGATATTATCTATTACTGGCATATTTAGGTGAGGCGCTTCTCAGTTTCAAAGCAACGGTTGGCTATTATGTAAGTTGTATTATTTAAATTTCGAAGTAATGTTGGCTATTGCCAATTGTTGTGCATAAGTTGTTATTACAGTGATCGAAAGTTGTCATTAATGACCCCATGACCTGTCCTGTTATGTAGGATGGAAGACCTGTGTAAGTTGTATTATTTAAATTTCGAAGTAATCTTAGCTATTATTAATTGTTGTGCATAAGTTGTTATTACAGTGATCGAAGGTTGTCATTAACGACCCCATGACCTGTCTTGTTATGTAGGATGGAAGACTTGTTCGGAGGTTTAGATGCATTGTCCATGTCTCCACCCAATGTGTTTAGTGAAGACCCACTATCATTGCCATATGGTTCAGAAATGATGCCAACCCCAATTCCAAAAATGAATTCAATAAAGTGAAAGGGTTTGGTTATTGGAGAAGGACAAATTTTTCCTGATGCAATGGCCCTTAGGCAAGCACTATATAGGTACAGCATTGCTGATAAGTTTTCATACAAATTTGTTAGGCCCATTGCGAAGGTTGTTAGCCACTTCTCTTCAGGTTGTTAACACCCGCCGTTAAGGTTGTAAATGAATTGCTGCAGTAAAAATCTGTTGTAATCCTATTGGGTTCAATTAAAACTGTTAATAACTTCAAAATGCTCTCAATTTTTTTTAAGGTCGTTATATGTGCTGATAATACAATCTATTTAGAAGCTGTGGTATCCCACAAAGTGATTTGTCAGGGGTACTGTCCAGGTTGTTAACTACTTGTCTTCGGGTTGTCAACAAACCCCGTTGAGGTTGTAAATGGATGTGGCAGAGAGGACTGTGATCTATGCCTATCATATCATCATCGTTATCATTTGTTTATCCAGTTTTATTTAGTCTGCATTTGTGGACATGATCCGTGTGTGGAACGAAGAATTTCCTGTTTTGTCAAAACACATGAATGCCATTACCAAAACTTCATAACCAGTAAAGTATGTCAATACACATTAACATATCTTAACATCCAGTTATCATTACATGGTTAAAAAAAGAAACAAAATCTGAACTTTACATTCAGCTGTCAAATAAAAAAAACTAAATACAATCTATGCTCATTGTTTATTTCTTCCTCTTGCTTTGAGAGTTTCCTTGTAGCAAAGACAGCACTTGATCACCATGCAGGTTGTTCCGATAAGTTACAAGCCACCACAAGCATCCAACCTTCAAGTCATGGATTTCTTGAGAGAAGTACAAGCATCCAACATGCACAGCATACAGTCGCAACCTACACATCAGCCAATCACAACCTACATTTGTGTCATTCACAACATATACAGCAGCCAATGACAATCCATGCTAAACCGAATAACAACAAGAACAGCAGGCAATTACAACCTATACATAAGCAAGTGACAAACTAATAGAGGCTAATGACAACCTGCACACAAGACAATAACAACTTTCACACCAATCAATCACAACATACATATAAGCAGTTAACAGCGTACATACTAGCGAATGACAACATAGAGTAGTAAATGACAACATACAGGATAGTAAATAACAACATACAGAGCAACCAATTACAACATATACAGAATAGTATATTCCCACCGAGGGAGTTACTTGATATATCCCTAGAAATACAGGAATATGATGAATGAATGCGATTTGTCCATCCTTATAACAACATAAATTGGATGAAATAAATGAACTAGAAACTACATTAAAATACTGCACTCACGAACTTCTGAGCTGTGATAGGTTTCCTAGTTCATTTGGAATCACTCCACTTAGGTAATTGCAACTTATGCACAACAATTGACAATAACTAACATTATTTCGAAATTTAAATAATATAATTTACACAAGTCTTCCATCCTACATAACAGGACAGGTCATGGGGTCGTTAATGACAACCTTCGATCACCGTAATAACAACTTATGCACAACAATTGACAATAGCCAACATTACTTCAAAATTTAAATAATACAACTTACACAATAGCCAACTGTTGCTCTAAAACTGAGAAGCGCCTCATCTAAATATGCCAGTAATAGATAATATCAATATGACATACCAAGAGAGAGAGGCTCGCCGGCGGTGGGGTGTGAAGGTCGTCGATGATGGAACCCACGAGGCTCGCTGGCAGTGGGGTGCGAAGGTCATCGATGATGGGGTACGAAGCTTGCCAACGGTGTGAGTAAAGCTCGCCGCTAATGGATGTGAAACCGCCTATGCTGTAATGGAAAGCTGTAAACGCGAAGAAGGTGGTCCCTAGGGTTTAAGGCGGGCAAATTATTCACACTCAAATTAACAGGGGTAAGTAGGTAATATGTGTAAAGACCCTTAACCTCATAACATTATAACTCATCACAAAATCACTACTATGGTAGAAAAGGAAATCTGTTAAATGAACTACCATAGTAGGAAGAAATTTGCATAAATTTTGAATTAACATGTAAACTCGATTCCAACTCAAAGTCCGTTGCATGCAACTGAAATCATTCATTCATAATCCACTGGGCCTCCGAGCCTCCGGCCCGGGTAACAACATACATCAAAAGCAGCCCATCCAATTAGTTTTCAACCATGTAACAAAGTTTCATAACACAATAGAAATGGCCTCCGGCCAACTAAAACGAGGAGATAACATATTCTCCAATTTACAATTAGGCCGGGTAATCAAAATATTTCAAAGAACCCTAATTGTGGCAATATACAACATATTCATACATAAACAAAGGCTAGAGGCCTAAAGCTAACCAAGCTTAAGCCTCTGCGTCTCTTCCCGAAGGCGCACGCCTAGAAACTTCACCTGAAAACATTGTAAACCACGGGTGAGACAAAGTCCCAGTAACCAACCATTCCAATTCAAGGTACTACTAAATAGGTGCTTGTGAGGTGTCAAGTGGGGTAGTTCACAACTAATATGATAACGAGATAGCCATAACAAGTTATGCAAGTGCAATGATGCAATCCCATCAACCATATCCCTCACTTTGGGGGATTTTCAAGAGCCGAACCCGGCCTATCCCTCACTATGGGGGACGTAAGGAGCCATAAGAGGCCTATCCCTCACTCTGGGGACGTAGGGAGCCAAAAGGCCTATCTCTCACTATGGGGGACGTAAAGAGCCAACCATCATGCATTAATGGAAGCCTTACCACGTGGTAGTAACTATCAAAAACTCTCACCAATTCCCAATTCATGCATCATGCTCAAACCATAATCAAATAGTAATTGAACATTTCATAAATAACTTCATTTAGTGGCATATCCTTCACAATTTCAAGATTCATTCATCATTAATCAAAGCCCCACAAGACGGTTTTCCTTTTTACATATACAACATACCATTTGATTATAATTGTTACTCAGAGCACAAAACATAAATCTACTCACAATACCACAGAAGCAAGTACTAAGGATTGGAAAGTGGTTACCTCTCGCCTGAGCAAGGAATAACAACCAACAATGTGGCCCCGTGCACCAACAAGACTCACAACCGGTCTACACAAGCACACAAACACACAACCATCATATATTAGCTTTCAAACTAATAATGTGGCCAAAACAATACTTGGGAACACAAAATTCCTATCTCCCATCAAAACTCTACCCAACTCAAAGGGTATAACTATCAAGGCAACACTCCATGGTCATACCAATCCATTAAAACCTTAATTCTTTTCCAAACATCAATTAAAATTCATAACCTCAAGGACCCACTATAGGAATTCTACACCCAAACATCCCATTTGAGCAATTAAGGTTCCAACAACAAATCTAAACCGATTAAACATCCAATTTAACCCTCCTTAATATAACCCAAT